AATTAAAAATAAATATTGCGGGTTACAAACTCTAATTTAATCCTCTGATTCTTCTCTCAAGAACAATATATGTTGACTTTGAATTTCGGAGTCGGGTCGTTGACTTGATCTTCTCCGGATTTGATTTTGAACTCGAATAACGTTTTCCGAGGGTCTTGTGACTTGAATTTCGGATCGAACGCTGAACTATGACGGGTTTTGACTTGAAGATCTTGGAGTTATTGATGGATTTGGTCCTTCAATCTTCCTTCGATCTTGATTTGTTGAAGAACGCCCTCGATTTGATGAAGAACGCCTTGAATTTGTTGAAGAACGACTTGAATATTGTAGAGAATTTTCTCCTACGGTTTTTCTTCTTCTTGAGTTGTGTCTTGAATTGTGTAGAGAGGGTCCCTATTTATAATGGTAGAATAAGAGTCCTACTTAAAGTCTACTTGATGACGTGGCGCGATTTGATTGGCTCTCTTTAAATTGATATTTATCTCTTATAACTTGGAAGAGAAGAAATAATCCTATTGGGCCAATAATTAATTGATAATTATCTCCATAACTTATTTTGTAAGATAAATTATAATTTAATTTAGACACAATTTAATTGGCTAATTTAATTAACCAATTAATTAATTTTATGCGTCTACAAATGCCCCCTCGAGACTTGTTCACGGACAATGCATCTTGGAGTGGATGAGTCTCGATAATTGCTCAACTTCGATTGCAGCTTGATCTAGCAAAGAACATATATCTTTTGAAATCATGACTAAATTTAGAGAGATTCTAAGTTGCCTACGTACCCTATAAAGGGATCAAGTCATAACGTAGTTCAAAATATATCATTTTGAGGGATGTCGTGCACAGTTTATACTCATGTGGACAAGGAGAAACATTTGCAGTTTAAGCTCGTACTGAAGGAGCATTTGACTTGAATTTGTAGATAGTTTATGCTCGTATCAAGGAGCCTTGACTTGATTTCGATATATAGATAGTTTATGCTCGTATCGAGGAGCCTTGACTTGATTTGGATATATAGATAATTTATGCTCGTATCAAGGAGCCTTGACTTGATTTAGATATATAATTTAGATATATAGATAGTTTATGCTCGTATCAAGGAGTCTTGACTTGATTTGAATATGTAGATAGTTTATGCTCGTATCAAGGAGCCTTGACTTGATTTGGATATATAGATAGTTTATGCTCGTATCAAGGAGCCTTGGTTTGATTTGGACATATAGACCTTTTAAACTCGTGTCAATGAGTACTTCGTTTGATTTGGACATGTAGACCTTTTAAACTCGTGTCAAGGAGTGCTTGATTTGATTTGGACATGTAGACTTTTTAAACTCGTGTCAAGGAGTGTTTGATTTGATTTGGACATGTAGACCTTTTAAACTCGTGTCAAGGAGTATTTGATTTGATTTGGACATGTAGACCTTTTAAACTCGTGTCAAGGAGTATTTGATTTGATTTGGACAAGTAGACCTTTTAAACTCGTGTCAAGGAATACTTCATTTGATATGGACATGTAGACCTTTTAAACTCGTGTCAATGAGTGTTTCACTTGATTTGGACTTGTAGACCTTTTAAACTCGTGTCAATGAGTATTTGATTTGATTTGGACATGTAGACCTTTTAAACTCGTGTCAATGAGTACTTCATTTGATATGGACATGTAGACCTTTTAAACTCGTGTCAAGGAGTGCTTCATTTGATTTGACTTGTCACATTGCATAGGATGTTGTTTCTTCAAAAGACTTGCCCCCATCCTCATGATCTTCTTGTTCTTCTTCAACATGTTATTCTTTAAGCTGGTACGACTTTTGGAATGAAGGTTCTTCGACTTCATTTGCAGTTATGCTCAACTCCATATCATGCGCTCGAGTGGCCAACTCTTCAAAACTTCTAGGTTGAATTCCTTGAAGGATATATCGGAGTCCCCATTGCATTCCTTGGATGCACAGTTCAATAGCTGATGTCTCAGGCAGTCGATCCTTGCAATTAAGACTCAAATTTCTCCAACGGTTGATGTAGTCGATGACAGGTTCCTTCTTCCACTGGCGGGAATTGGTGAGCTCAATCATGCTGACTGTTCTTCGAGTGCTGTAAAAGCGGTTGAGAAATTCTTCCTCTAAGTGCTTCCAACTATCGATGGAGTTTGCCCCCAAATCAATGTACCAATCAAACGCATTGTCTTTGAGCGATCGGACGAATTGCTTGACGAGGTGATCTCCATACGTGCCGACATCATTGCAAGTCTCCACGAAGTGTGCCACATGTTGTTTGGGGTTGCCTTTGCCGTCAAATTGTTGAAACTTTGGAGGTATATAGCCCATTGGCATCTTTAGATCATCGATCCTTTGCGTGTATGGCTTGACATAGGTTGATGGCGACTTCGAGCTTCCTTCCAACTTGTCTTTGATTGTTATACTGATCAGCGTCATCACTTGATCTACATGAATCAGCCCTTCGGGAGAAACTTGAAGTTCTTGAGCTGGAGCCTTCTCTTTTTCAACTTGTTGTTGCTTTGTGAATGTCTCGACTTCGTCTTGAGCCTCTATCTGATTCTCCACAGCTTGACTAGCATCGGCTTTGTCCATCTTGTTGATCAACTTGGCAATTTGAGAATCTCGTTGTTGAACATGTTTTGCGAGTCCCTCAATGGCCTTTGTTAAACTTGCAATTTGCTCTTCCATGGTTGTAGCATTTGTTGTCATGACGGATGCCACCTCTGAGTAGCTTGATGTTGAACGAGGCGTGGGCTGTGAAATCTCTCGTTTTGAACCATCCACGTCTGCGCTTGTATTGACAAGAGGTGGTAAGCCTTTCTGAATGGTTTGGGGCATCGAGCTAGTCTCGGAGGATGCTTGCAGCTTCTTAGCCATACTCCTTGTAACTAAGCCCACACTTGATGAATCCGAAGTAGCAGACTTCATTGCGAACGTAGAGCAATCACTGCAACACTTCGAGGATCTTCGAGAGAGAGAAAAGATGAGAGGTAGAGATGTCCCACCGGGCGTGCCAAAATTTGTAGCAACAAAATTCTTATCTGCGATTTAGACAAACAAGAAAAACTTGCACAAAGATAATTTTATTGAATTAAAAATAAATATTGCGGGTTACAAACTCTAATTTAATCCTCTGATTCTTCTCTCAAGAACAATATATGTTGACTTTGAATTTCGGAGTCGGATCGTTGACTTGATCTTCTCCGGATTTGATTTTGAACTCGAATAACGTTTTCCGAGGGTCTTGTGACTTGAATTTCGGATCGAACGCTGAACTATGACGGGTTTTGACTTGAAGATCTTGGAGTTATTGATGGATTTGGTCCTTCAATCTTCCTTCGATCTTGATTTGTTGAAGAACGCCCTCGATTTGATGAAGAACGCCTTGAATTTGTTGAAGAACGACTTGAATATTGTAGAGAGAATTTTCTCCTACGGTTTTTCTTCTTCTTGAGTTGTGTCTTGAATTGTGTAGAGAGGGTCCCTATTTATAATGGTAGAATAAGAGTCCTACTTAAAGTCTACTTGATGACGTGGCGCGATTTGATTGGCTCTCTTTAAATTGATATTTATCTCTTATAACTTGGAAGAGAAGAAATAATTCTATTGGGCCAATAATTAATTGATAATTATCTCCATAACTTATTTTGTAAGATAAATTATAATTTAATTTAGACACAATTTAATTGGCTAATTTAATTAACCAATTAATTAATTTTATGCGTCTACAGTGGGTTTGTCTGTGTTATTTTTGTTGTTTGTTCAAGAAATTTGTAAAATTTTTGAAAAAAAAATCGAAACTGAAAGATTCCGAAAAAATCCGATTTTCCGAAATTTCCGAAAAAATCGGAATCGGATTCTGTTCTTGAATTCCGAAAAAATCGGAATCGGTATTACGGTTCCGAAAAAAATTGGAAATTTTCCGAAAGCCCCCTATCTGATCGATCCGTCCGATTTCCACCCCTCCGTCCGCCCCTTAGAGAGATTATCATTATGCAACGGATTTTTTTTTTTTAAATCCTTATTTATCGAACAATTGATTACAAATAGTACACAATACATATGAACTAGGGGTACTCAAACGAGGGAATGTATTCCACAAAACCAACGGAGTAGCTGCAAGGTAAAAATGTATAGTAGTATTTGAACTGTTACATTATTTGCTTTCAATTAAGAGATACATCATATATGTAATGAATTAAAGTTTAAAAAATTAAGTTTTCACAACCTATATTAAAAATTCTAAAATTACAAAATAAATTGATATTGACAATAGTACCTCAATCTGAAACTCAAAGAAAAAATCTTTCATGTTGTTATGTTGTTACTTATCGGTTAGTTTCTCGTGTTTCATCAGAAATCTGATTTTTTATCTCTTTCGGAACCGACAATGTGCAAAAAAATAATATTTGTAAGGGGCACCACCGTGCAATAAAAATAACATTTAAAGGGAGTAACATGCAACAAAAATCATCAATTCCGATGAATAATCCATCGGAATTTTCCTATCGAGGCAATGTGCAACAAGTATAATATTTTGAAGGGGGACATTCACTTTTAAAAATTTTGAGGGGGTAAAGTGCGAAAATTAGAAATTTACAGGAAGTGATGTGCAATTTTCCCTACACATATATTAAATACACATATATTAAATAAAGGAAAAAATATAGTTTTTGTCCCTCAAGTTTGCATCGATTTCATTGGTCCCTCGTGTTTCTAAAATTCAACGTTTTTAGTCATTTCCGTTAGTAGCAGTGGAATCAAATGTGCCCGTGTGCCCATCAATGGCTTAACTAACGAAGTAACGGTAATTGTCGGAAATGACCGAAAGTGTTTTTTGTAAACATGGGCGACCATATGTGAAATCAATGCAAACCTGAGTAATGAAAACTGTAATTTTTCCGTTAGATAAACCAAGATAATAGCTCATATTTTCACAAGAGCGCGGGCTGGTGCGAAAAATAATTCGACTAACCAAACACAAAGTAAGATCCAAGCCAATAAATCATCACTAAATATCATACTCCAATAAAACGAGATAACAATAAATCATCACTAAATCAATCACCACCGTCAAGTACGAGCGAGCGAGACTAAACTTTCTGTGTAGACATGCGCTTCACAAGCACGAGCACTTTCGAGGTCAAAGTCAAAGGTGTCCAGTTTCCCAACACAATCATCGTTCGGATTGTAAATGAAAAAATCAGACGCAATTGTAAACAAAACCTCGTCGTTTGGCAAAACAAGCAACGGGATTATGTCATCATGCATAAATGTCGAATACGAAGGCCCCCAAGAAACGGACTCATAAGGAATAGTCAACAACCTAGCCCAAGAATCTTCCACCCCGTACTTTTTCCAAATCCAGATATCGAACCCGACAGCTATATGTTGAGGATAGTCAAAATATAAGCAAAGAGATCCTTTCAGAACTCCCAATCCCGGGCTGAAATAATTGTACAAACAACTCGGCTGCTCGACGGTTCCAAACGTTACACTCTTCAACTCCAAGCAAACAATCATCCATTTCGATTTCGTTCGGAAATCGCTTCTCCAGTGAAGCTTCCCGCTCGCAAACTTCCCTGCCTCAAACTTAGTTCCATCCACAACGGGCACAGGTTCTCCCCACGAATCGGCCTTCAAACTATACAGTCTTGCAACAGATATAGCAGAAGGAATCGAATTCAGAATCAGACGAAAAACAACGTAAATCTTGTAATCACCGCTATTCTCGTCGAACGCAAAGCCGTGCCTACCGATGAACCACCGATTTTTGCTCGTGCGATCCACTCCGGCGAAGAAATCAGGCAATTCTTTACACTCACTTTTCTTAGGGTTCCACAAGAAAAACCGGCATGCGTCCACCATAAGAACGCAGACCAAACCATTGCAAGAACCAACAATAAGTAAATCTCTAGAAGGGTTCATCGGAAAATCAAGAGGTAATCCGCGAGTAACCGGCTCGGTGAGCAACGAGAACAAAGAACAGGCCTTTACTCCTCCACGAGATCCCGAAACTCTCGAAGGGGATGCGATGATCATGGTGCTGTCGTCGAGAGTGTCGTTATTCGTTGAGTTTTTAAGGTAAGTTTTGATGAAGTGTTTGGTGGAGATCAATGAATGCCATGATTTGCAAACGCACTTGAATCTCAAGAAGGATTTTACCGGGAGTTTCGACAGAATTTCGATGGTGATTTCTTCTGGAATTTTTTCGCTCTCCATTTGCAGTAGCAGCTGTGGCTTGAAATTTTTGAGGTTCTTGGCGTACGAGAAAAAAGGCAGACTAGGGTTTTGTAGTTATTCAAAGCTTCAGAGTTCAGAGTCCACGAATTGTTATTTACGTCCAAACCCCTAGATTTGTTGATTTTTTATTTAAGATACTGTAAATTTTTTGACGCTGCTAATTGCAAATATCGAAAAAATTGATTCACAAACTCAAAATATCAATACAAAATATTTATGACAAAATTACACCTTACGAACTCAATTCATAATTCTAAGCCCTACTTAAACTGCAATTACTCAAATTTTGCCCCCAAAAATCCGATTTTGAATTTCTTTTATTTTTTATTTTTGAATTTTTTTCCTGAAATTCTTTTTTGCCACGGCTGACCGACTGCGTTGACCTTTTTTTTTAAAATATATTTTGATTTTTTTTCGAATTGAAATTTCGTGTCGATCTCTGGCGCTGACTTATTCTTGAAAGATAATTCGATTTTTATTCTCACCGTTGACCCGTTAACACAGTAATATTAATGTGGTTGACAATAATATTATTGTCTAGTATCTTAATTAATATTACTGTCAACCACATTAATATTAAAAAAAATTGGTTTATCGAACAACATAATAATATTACTGTGTTACAAACCATTATTTGTAACATAGTAATTTTGTTCTTAACAATAATTGTGTCACACATGATTATTAATATCTTGCGTTTTTTTATATTAATATGTTAGACAATAATATAGTAATATTACAGTGTTTGACAGTAATATAATTAATTATTACTGTGTTTCATAATAGTGTGGTTAATATTACTGCGAAATACAGTAATATTATTGTTTTTTATAAGGCAGGGTATGTTAAGAAAAAAAATTGATAGAAAAATAAAAAAATAATAAAAAACCTATGCCACAGACTTGCGTTGATCGACGTCAACGGCGGAAAAAACTAATATCAATACTAATACCAATAATAATACTAATTAGACTAATACTAATACTAATACTAATACGTACTAATATTAATATTAATTATAATCCTAATACTAATGCTAATGCTCATACTAAGTATCAATAATACTGTTAGTATGAGTATCAGTATCAATATTAGTACGAGTACCACTATTAGTCTAAGTAGAAGTGTGAGTACGACTATTAGTGTTAACGTCAGTGTGGATCAATCAGGGCCGGTTCTGATGGGAGGCGAAGTAGGCGGTCGCCTAGGGCCCCCGATTTTTTTACAAAATTAAGGGCCCCCAAATTTTCATTATATCCTTTATATATTAGTATTTTTTCAAACAAAAGTATATTATATATATAATTATCGAGAACCCTAATTGATAAATAGATATTGATAAACGATTTTTACTTGTTTGTATAATTTTTCTAATTATGGGGCCACCAATTATTAAATTTATAGTGCATTAGATATTTATTTTTATATATTTACACTGGTTTCAGTGCTATTTAATGAAAATTATCCTTAAAAAAAATCGGGGGCGCTGCCCCCGAACCCCCGAAAACTATAACATCATTGTATCAAAAATTTATAGCCTTGCCTCTAGCTATACATCTTACAGAAAAAACGGGTTAACATAGAATTTATTATCATTTTGGAAAAAAAATGAGTTTTAACGTACATTGTAGAAGGGCCCCCATTTTCCAACTATCTTCGAATCTCGCCTAGGGCCCCCAAAATCTCAGGAACGGCCCTGGGATCAATATTAGTCTTACTATCAACATCAATATCAATATCAGTATCGGTATCAATTGCTTTGTATTGCATATCAACTTTTGGTGGCACTATTTCGAGGATATTTTTCAAATTAAGTATTTGCTTTCATGATGAATATTCCCGTGCATCGCAGGCGTGAAGTACTAGTATCACTTAATATAAATTAAAACAGAGGTAGTAGTAAATTAAAACTTCATGTAAGAAAACTAAAGTGAAGCAGTACATGCATGTAAATTAGCATATATATAAAAGTTATTGTTTTGCAACAGCTAGTACAGAGATTTCAATGTCTAAAAGACAAGAGTCGTTCACAATGAATCCTTTTTCAGGATCATTTATAGTTGCAATCTCCATGAATGTACCCCATCCCCAATTATCGTTGGAAGCTGAAAACCAACGGCCAGTTCCTACAAGGCAAAAGTTTGGTACTTTCATGAGAAATATTAATTCAGGAAACACTTACAAAACAATATACTAATGTAGTTAGATATCGGAGTGCAGTTTAATCCCATAATCCCTATATAGACCGGTTATTCAGACAAAACTTTGACAAGTTTCTATCAAATAGTTGCTGGAAACGCAAAAATAAATATAATCTTGTGTTAATAATGTTGCCAATTTGATGTAGTATACTATAAATCACTGATGCAATAACTTACTAATTTGATTCTTGTGTTCATCGGAAACCTGGTTTTTGATCTGTATGGTATAACTTGCCTTGACCCTTTCAGAGCCAACATAGTACAAATAGATAGATACCCCTCGGCCAGCTGCTTCTCCATTACCTTTAGGGTAAAGACTAATTTTCCTAAATTTATACAAATTAATAATCATGTCATTTTAATTACATTCTTACAAAATTAATATAGTAGTAATGCTTAAAAGACGGTACCATTTTTGGTCTCCAGCGGTGAACTGCTCAGATTGCCAAACATGTCCCTGTAGAGAGAAGTTTGGAATCTTCCAATCGCGCTTGTAAGGGATATCAACATTCTTTAAATACAGACATTCAGTGACTGTTTCACTTTTGATGATAAAAACCTCGGCACCAAACACACAACTGTCATTAACTAGGTATCCATTTGACGGGTCCAACAGAATTTTCTTAGAGATAAATTTTGAAATTCCCCATTCGGACTTCATTCCTAGAAAACGTCTCGTCATTCCTACCCAATTTCATAATTGACAAACAAACAATTAGTACACTTTGGTATTTGTAATTATAAACCATAGGACGCAAATTGTACCATAATTAAAGAGAGAATTTTTTTTATACCTAGTGAAGAGAGATAATTGGCAGATATCTGATTAAAGAGAAAGATGCTAAATACAGCATTGACTTCCCAATTTGCAGGCAAAGAACTTGTGTTCGCTACAGCCACGTGTACGGAAATATAGTCGTTGCAATCTTTTGCTTTGTCATCATCTCCATTAGGATAGATTATTAGTTTCCTGAACATGCAATTAGTTCCAAATTAAAATCGACAAATTACTTTTCTAGTTAGCTTATGAACTTACAACATGCTTAATACATAATACCATATACGTACCACTTGTATTCTCCAGCAGAAAATTCTCTAGTCTCGTATTTGTCGATTCCGCACTTTTCAAGCAAGGAGAAGGATTCAATCTTGATTAAGAAATGTGCAGGCGATGCCTCTCTTGTTTCCATGTTGGCCAATTCTAATAAAGGAAACAGAATCACATACATATACTATTAAGACAATGAAAAAAAAAAAATAGATATAGTTTTGTGAAAATTATCATACCATCTGCTGCTGTTGTCACAGACATAGTTGTTGATTTGAAAGACTAATTTGATTGTGTTTTACTCTAAGTTTGGAGGAATTATGTGTTCTCTAACGATTTTTGTCCAGGTAGAAGTTTTTATACCGTTATTCTAATGACCTTTGGTTTGTATTTGGCCTTTATTATATTCATTGGATGCATCAAGGCTTTCTCAATTCCAAGGACTGCTATTATTAAGTCAAATGAAGTTATATGGTTAGTGACTAATTAAGTATTATATCACACTCCCAAGTCCCAATACAGTCATTTTACCCCGAATGACGTAAAAAAAACTGCATCACATCACAATACAATACTATAAGCTGACATCATGCATTAGAAGTGTAAATCCCATTTTGCCCCTGATGGGGTGACAAGATTAGGCCAAACTTACCCCAAAGTCGGGCTCTCAAGACGAAATAATGTGGTCCATGAGAAGTAGGGGTGGCAATTTGGATCCGGTTCCATGGATTCGATTAGATCCGGTTCGGTCCATAAGGATCCAGTTTAGATTAAATCTAGTTGAAACAAACCGGATCGGATCAAGTTGATTTTTTTTAAAACTGGATCCATGTGGATCCACTTTAGATCCATAGAAAGTTTAACCATAAAATAAAGTGAGTTTAATTAAAAGTTTAATTGATAAAAAATTATCAATGAGTATATTAATAAAAATTGTGTGTGTATGTGAGTGTGTGTGTGTAAAACAGTATGTGTAGAAACTATGTATGTATGCGTGTGTGTGTGTGTGCGTAAAATAGAGAGAGTGTATGTGTAGAAACTGTGTGTATGTGAGTGTGTAAAACAGTGTGTGTATGTGAGTGTGTGTGTGTGTGTAAAACAGTGTGTGTGTATGTGAGTGTGTGTGTGTGTGTGTAGAACAGTGAGTTTATGTGAGTGTGTGTGTGTGTGTAAAACAGTGTGTGTGTGTGTGTGTGTGTATAGAAATTGAGTGTGTCTGTATAGAAATTGTGTGTGTCTGTATAGAAATTGTGTGTGTGTAAAACAGAGAGTGTGTGTGTATGTGAGTGTGTGTGTATATATATATATATATATATATATATATATATATATATATATATATATATATATATATATATATATATATATATATATATATATATATAGATAGTGTGTATGTGCATGTAAGTGTGTGTGTGAATATGTGTAATTGTGAAACTTGAGATATTAAACCTCATAAGTTGAATTAAAGATGCAATGAATCCATGTGAATCCAATCCGGATCGGTCTAAACTCGATCCACATTAAATCCATTCATGTAGGTTGATATTGGATCCGATTCCTTTTGAATCCGATGCACATGGATCCGGTCCAAGTTGAGAAATTGCCACTCCTAATGAGAAGTAAAAGGATTTAAGGGATCGACGGGCTATTATCAGAAGTTATAGACAGTAAAGAGCTCGCCACTAGGAAGAGAAGAGCTCGCTACCAGAAAAGAGCGCCAAAAGAAGAGTTCCCCGGAAATGCTGGTGGACGCAAGGAAATGGGCTTGGACCGGACCTTCAGAACTGAGCTTATTGGGCCAAAAACTCAATGAAGGACAAGAACAATGGCGGGCCAGATGTTAGCCGGTGAAGAGCTTAACATTATAGAGATCGTTGACATATAGCTTGCATGGGTAAAGTACATAGCTACGTCTCAGCTCGCATAAAAAGAGTAGTAGGAAGTGGTAAGTGCGAAATGAACGAGAACCGTTAGAAGCAGAAGACTCGGAGATACTGTTCCCGAAAAGATAAGGAAAATATGTAATTATTATTAGTAATGGAGCAATTAATGTAAATCTCATCGCAATTAAAGTGAGTTTAAATAGGAAGCAAGATCTTCCTATATAAAGTCTTGTAATAAGTTCGATTAAGGACACGATTTAAATAATCATCAATAACACTTTTATACTATCTTCCAAACTCTCGCCCACTAGATCTATGTTTCTCATTCGTCGAATTCATCTTCTCTAGCAAAAAACCCGCGTTCGGTGGATTTTCCAGTGGTCAAGGGGGTTGGGCTCGAAAGGAGATTTTGTGGATGTAGATCCTACATCATCAGCCCCCTTGTGTGTGGGGTAAAATAATTTAACCATCTACTATCAATTGTATCACTATACCCCTTTTATAAAAAGAAATTGTTCGACGTACATTAATCATCCGTTATCTGGACACACACTAGTTGTTAATTGTGATTATAAATTGTAAAATATATATAAGGTTAGCTTCTTCCATCTGTAATTACACGTATTTTTCATATTCTTTGCTTCTACACGCAACCATTAGCGGAGCCAGAATTTTAAGTTTGGGGGGCCGAAAGCATTGGTCGTTAATGCTATTGTACATAAATTCCTAATATTTCTACTTAGATTAATAGAGATTTGAGAAATGTTGGGGGCCATGGCCCCCTCTGGCCTGGCTCCTGAATGCAACTCTTACCTTGTTGAGTTTTCAAGAATTGCTCGAGTATCATTTTCTGAAAGTTGGTGATCTGTTTCAAGTTCGGCGATTTTGTATGTAATTGCGTCCTCAATGTGCGACTTAAGGGTGAATATAGAGGAGCTCAACATCACTTTTAAAAATATGTTTTTCCAAAAAAAAAAGGATTTTTCGTCGTGAACTCTGAATTTCCAATTTTATTTTATAATATCTCAAAACATCATGCTCTGAAGGTGATTCAGGAACTATAGTTTTAGTTACAAATTTTTGATCATGTACTTCCCAAACTGAAACTAAAATTAGATCGGCATTACGAAAGAATAATATAAATAGTTCAGTTCTCTTTCATATTCATAGTTAAATTTTATGCAACATCTTGGACAGATGATATTTCTACATCTAGAAGAAAACAATCTTCGACAACGAACCCTTTCTTGGGATCATTAATAGCTGCAAGCTCAATGAATGAATGCCATCCCCAATCATTTTTGGAAGCCGTAAACGAGTGATCAGTAACTGCAAGACAAAAAATATTTAGTGTTTCATGAGAGAGATTCCAGAAACCCTAAGGTAATATTCCTTGTTAAGGACAAAAATTATCATCTTTCCCGCAAATATATTTTAGCTTACCAGCCCGTTTATCAGGTTGTTTAAGTTGGTTTTTTACGCATATGGCAAAAGATGCCTTGAAACTTTTGGAACAAACATTTTGCAGAAAGATGGAGATGTAACGGCCAGGTTTTTCTCCAGTTCCTTTTGGGTGAAGACAAATCTTCCTAAATTTATCAACAAATCAAAGATCATGTCAACAGAATCCGATCATAAACAAAATGCATTTTAATAATAAAAATGGTACCATTTGTGGCCTCCAACACAGAATTCTTCACATTTCCATTCGTCTCCGAGTTTGGAGAAGTTTTGAATCTTCCAATCACGCTTGTGAAGAACGTCAAAATTCTTCAGACATACATATTCAATGACCGGTTCTCTTTTGATCACAAAAACCTCAACACCAAACACACAGCTATCACCGTATAGGTATCCGTTTGATGGATCCGACATAGCTTTCTTAGAGATAAATTTTGGAAATCCCCATTCGGACTTCACTCCTTGGAAACGTCTCGTTCTCCCTTTTCACGTGCCACGATTTTTAAAATTAGTTATTTTCCACATATAAAACACTACTTTGCAATATAGATAAACTATAACCAACCCTCTGCTATTAGAGTAGAGGTCTAGGGTTCGAATCCTGCCCCCCTCTCCTATTTCTTCAATTTGTAATAGGATTTGACTTTTTTCGTTTATCTTTATATAAAAAAATAATTATATAATTTATATAATTTATATAATTTAAAAAATAAATACATGTTTTGTGAAATTGATTTAAAAAATAATTCTAATAAAATAATTATATAATTTAAAAAATCAAAATTCATACATTAATAAATTATATCATATAAAAATTGATTTTTTTTTAACCATTCACCGCAACTATTAAATTTTTATTTTTGTATTGTAATTGAATTAATGTGTTCAACTTAATTTTACTACAAAATAATATGAAATTTAAACAAATAAATTAATTTTTGCATAAAATCCCTTTGTATTGTAGAAAATATGCACTAATCCCCCTATGTTACCAAAAACTTACATAAAACTTTCTCTGTAGTTAACGGCGTTAAATTTTAACAGAAAAGAGGATTTCATGCAAAGTAAAATAAAACACAGGGATATTTTTCCTTAACATAGGAGGGTTTTATGTTGTTTACCTTAAAATTCCACTAGTTACCAGCAGGGCATACCACATATAGGGATGACAACGGGTCGGTTCTGGGTCGGGTTTGCCTAAATCCAAGACCCGACCCACGAAAAATATATAAACCCAAGACCCGCCCCCAACCCGCTTTAGCTTAGACCCAGACCCGCCCCAACCCAAACCCTAACTAAACGGTTCCGACCCGCCAGACCCGCTAGACCCATTAACATACAAAAAGTTTAATTTTTTTTTAACTTTCATAACATTTTGCTTGGATATTTTTACGAAATAATTTCAATACTAAAATAAAATATTTAAAAAATTCTCTACAAGTGACATAACATGAATAATCAAATTACAATTAATTATATTTAACTTCGATAATAAGTAAAATTCAAAATGCAAGACAATTAGCGGTGGTCGACAAGTGATAAATGTTACTCACGAGAAATGATATTCGAAAACTAAAATAGTGAAAATAGGTAAATGAGAATAGACAAGATGAAAATTGATTGTTTGATAAATGAAACTCGAAATTATATATATATATATATATATATATATATATATATATATATATATATATACGGGTCGGTTCCGGGTCGGTTCCAATAAGACCCATAACCCGACCCAGAACCATCCGGTTCTAGAAACTTAAACCCATTACCCGACCCAAAATCATTTAGCTGACCCAGACCCGCCCCAAACGGGTCGGTTCCGGGTCCAAGACCCGCCAAACCCGTACCCATTGCCATCCCTAACCACATATCATTTTACTTAAAAAAGAAAATAAAGAACAATAAACAAGTATTACCATAGTATCATTATTAAAATATTTTAAGCTTAGAAATCCAACGTTATAAGTAGCATATGTTTTTTAGGTTCCACAATGCACTATTATACACATATGTATATGCATGTAATTTATTCTACTTGTACTTTGCTCCTATAATTTTTAAACAGTATAGTTTTATATAAAAAACTAAAATTAACTATTTGTAATTGAAGAAAGGGGCTCTTTGAGGAAACTCCCTCATTACTTTTTTAATGGAGGGAGGCCCAAAATATTTTTCTTTATTTGAGAAAAGCCCACACTCATTTTCAACCATTATGTTTTCCAGCTTTCCCCCCGTCCGCCACTTCATCACTGGGTCATGCGCTCAGCGATTTTTTTTTTCGTTTCGTTTTTTTTTCGTCTTTTCTGTATCAATTTCCTTAATCGACTATGAAGCATAGTCGATAAGCCTTAATCGACTATGCTTCATAGTCGATTAAGGAAATCCTTTAATTTTTTAATTTTTTTTTTGTTTTTTAATTTTTTTTCTATATATCAGGTACAGTAATCGACTATGATGAAGCATAGTCGATTAAGAATCTGCTACTAAACATAACAAATTACAACTGCGAAAAAATGCAAAATCAACTATATTTAAAAAAAAAACAAAAAATATACAAACATTATAATATGGATTTATACAATTGAAATCAATAAACAAGAAATCTAAAAATAATAAAAAATGGAGTCGATCAACCTTAATCGACTACCAGTACATAGTCGATTAGCTTAATCGACTATGAACATGTACATAGTCGATTAAGGTTTTAGCCTGCGCGAAATTCTCTACACGTGCCGTCCTCCATCCGATCCACAAAAAAACCCAAAATCAGCCTCCCCATCGTCACCACACCACCCAGAGCTCCTGCCATGGCCAAACCCGTCAGGTTTTGAGCATGTTCAGCTCCACCAATGAAGCAACATCAGTCTTGAGCTCTTCTTCACAATCTCCTCCTTGACGATGGCCTCACACACAACCGATTTTCCCCTCCCTTCAATCCAGTTCACCGCAACAGTATTCTTGTCCGAACAGTAGTTGCTGAGATTTCGATAAAATCCATGTTTGGGAACTCGTTGTTGAGGAAGTCTATGACATTCTGGACACCTTCAGAGACCATGTTCATCCACATGGCATCCCATGTGTTGCGAGTGAACCTCATATACAGGTATACCGAAGAAGCCGAGGAGATAGATGAAGGAGGCAACGAAGGTGACGATGGCGGCGATCTCAGAGAGGCCTTGACGGAGTCGGAATCCTTGGGCAGGCGGCGTTGGTCAACGGAGGCACCTTTCATCAATCTGGCGGCGGTAGCAGTGGACGGCGGGGGAGAGGTAGTGGTGCTGGCGAGGGGCAGAGATGGTGAAAAAAATAAGAGAGAAATTAGGGTTTCAAAATAATACATTGACAATTAAGGGTAGATTTGGAATTATAAAAATAATATTTGGTGGAATACTAACTAAGGGGGTTTTCTCTAATTATTTTTGAAAGGGGGGTTTTCCTTAACTACATTTCCTAAATGAGGGGGGTCTTGCTAATAATCCCTTGAAGAAAATATAGAAAAATAATAAATGAGTCTACTTAAGTTCATCCTCAATTGAAAAATAGTTAATTAGGGAGAACTCCCTCAAAATATATTTCCCTGTAATATGGATACAATCTTCTTTTGCGTTTAGCAACACCCCCTTGTTTGACTTTTATAATTATCTTGAATCCTAATGATATTGATATGCCTATCATACTAAGACATATATTTTCCATAAAAAACCCTAACCCATATACTTCTCCCTTTTTTTCTTTCTCTCCGACTCGGTGTACATTCACGAGGAAATGAAAGTGACGATACTCCACCAGATTCCAGAGAATCGCGTTGCGGAAGAATGAATTATGAAAGGGGAAAACCTGGAAATTGAGAAAATGGAAGAACCCCAAATTCACGTTTCGCCCGAGAAGGAGAATTCGCCACACCCGGAGCTTCCTCTGATTAATGTTTTCCACCTCATGCGGCGAGAGACACGACGGCTAGGGTTAGGCGGTAAGAATAGCGACATCGGTGGTGCGGAGGCTATTTGTGCTAGGGTAGACAACATGGAGAGGAAGAGGTCGTCGACGAACTATATTATAGTTTAACTCAATAATATATAGCACAACAAAAATTTACTATTATTGTGTACTAGAGTAATACTAATATGTTGACCAAAACATAATAAAAAGCCCAAAGAATTAATATTGATGTGGTTGACAGTAATATTACAGTCATCCACAATAATATTACTGTAGCGACAATAATATTACCATCAACCACAATGATATTATTAGGGATGACAGTGGGTACAGGTTTGTCGGGTCTTAGACCCGGAACCGACTCGTTTGGGACGGTTCTAGGTAAGTTAAATGGTTTTGGGTCCGGTAATGGGTATAAGTTTCTAGAACCGGCTGGTTTTGGGTCGGGTTCTGGGTCGGATTGGAACCGACCCAGAACCAACCCGTATAAATATATTATATGTTATAATTAATCTATATATACAAATTAATTTATGATTTCATTTATCAAACTTTCAATTTTCATCGGGTCTGTGCTCATTAATCCATTTTTCACTATTTTTTTTTTTTTAATCTCATTTCTCGTAAGTAAAATCTATCATTTGTTGACCACCGCTAGTCGTCTTGCCTTTTGAACTTTACTTATCGTAGAAGTTAAATATAATTAATTATATAATTTTATTATTCACTTTATATCACTTGTAGAAGTATTTTAAAATATTGTATTTTAAGGTTTAGATTATTTTGTTAAAATATAGAAGCAAAATGTTATAAAAATTAAAAAATAAAAATAAAAAAGCATGTTAACGGGTCTAGTGGGTCTGACGGGTCAGAACCGTTTAATTCGCGTATGGGGCGGGTCTGGGTCTAAGCTGAATCGGATTGGGGCGGGTGTTAGGTGTATATTTTACACTCAATGTACACTTTCTTACGAGGATTTTTGTATACTTTTATTGATTTAATGATGCTTAATGAGTGGTTTATTGTATTTTAGGTACAACTTGACGATTTGGAAGTTCTAAGGGCGAAACGAGCAAAAAAAGTTCAAAAAACGGGCAAAAACGGAAGAAAAAAAAATATGCTGAAAATTGGCTCAAAAGTGGCCCGCGCGGCCGTGCCAAAATAAGCCTATTTTTGGTGCGGCCGCGCCAACTGCAGAAGTTGGGCAGAAGGTTTCGACGATTCTCGCGCAGCCGTGTGGGAATTACACTGATTTTCGCGCGGCCGCGCCAAAACACGTTGGAGACAATTTTGGACTTTTAATCACACAAGCACGAATTAAAGGACTTTTGACACAACCTTGGAGCGAGAGAACGAAGAATCGAAGACGGAGAATTGACAAATCTTCATCACAATTCTTCTTTTATCTATCTTTTCTTAATCTATGTCTTTTTATATTTTTATTATGTTTTTCGTAGAGAACATGAGTA